TTGAAGCCCGCAGTGCCCACTGAGATCTGGAGCCCGTGGTTGACACTGAGATCTCGTCTCGCGCTTGCGGTTGAGGCCCGGCTGCCCACTGAGATCTGAAGCTCGAAGTGGACGACGCCGAGGAGGAGCAGGAGGTGGTTTCGGGAAGTTTCGGGATGCAGTTCTCATAAAATCTAGAGCCCTTCGTTCGTTCGTTCGTTCGTGCGTTCATTTGGGTGAGAACCCCCTTGTCTATACGAACCCCGTTTTCCTATAAGCAACCGATGTGTTTTTAGATTCATGACTCGCAAGGCTTGTGGAAATTACCGCTTCAATAATACAATCATAAACTCTGACAGCTGTGGGTTCACCATGGTTTCAAGGCGGCTTGACCCAGACCTGTCTTGGATATGCCGAGAAATCCATATTGCGCCTACACCTTTATATTGGGGCTGATAATTTTGACCCATCCCCACCAAGGACCTTGCCCTTGACCCGTCGACCCCGCCTGCGTGTAGCCGGCAAATGCACGAGCCACCGGCATCCAAACACCGCGAGCGCCGTGGCAGCGGACGTTGACTTCCACGAGGCAAGGCCCCGTCTCTGTCATCATCACCTGTGGCGTGGATGGTGTCGGTCTGGGTCTAGATGTGGATCTGTCCGGAAATAGGGAGTATGGCCCTCGAAATATGGCTAGCTAGTTGAATGTAGGAGATGGTGGCGAAATAACAGGTTTGGGGATATCTTATTCTCAAACAAACCTAAGAGGAGAACGCGCCCCCCCCAAATGTTTTCTTATGCATCAAGACACCTGGGTTAGGAGGAGTTTTGACAGAAAAGAAGTGGAGCCCCTCCACAATTCTTGACTTGTTGGGTGATGTTTTGTGTGTGGCTTACAATACCCGATAGAATTGAAGGGTATATAGTGGGTTCATCACGTCGTCAAAATGCTATGTCATAACGCGCCAATTACTGGTGCCCGTGTGTTTGCCGGCTTTGAAGAGAAACGCGAAAATTGGATTTCTTACTATTGGAAGCAAGGATTTGTCAATGATTTTGAAGCTCCTAGCTTGTGACGGCTCCCAGCGCCAGGGAACTAACGGAGACCACAAGGCCAGACCGTTTATGAATACAAGGGCAGTCCTGCAAATGGTGATGAATAGCTTCATAAACGAAGGTTACCACTATACCATACCATGCCATACCTGGTTCCTGACTGATTAGTTAATTTAAATAACCCCTGGATGCAACCGACAATGAAATTCCGGCGCCAATCGAAGCTGCAGCGGGGTTTCGCCGCCACTTTCTTCACGCGCAGCAGTCTAGAATTTGGAGGCTGTGCAATGTGCGTCCGTTACACCCACCTCCTCTGACTTCAGCTGACAACCCAGAGGCTTTCAAGTTATGTTGGAATTTCGGCGTGAGAAGTGAAGAACACGCGTTTCTTACGTGAGCCACGTCTACCTTCATAACGTTTAGGAGGGAAGGCGTGTGTAAGTTCATATACGTTCATGTCAGCCCAACAAAAACACTTTTAACTCCATGGGCTTGAGCCCGTCCCCACCTCCGCGTGGGTTGCGCCCTCAGTGATTGAAAGTGCATCTAGACATGCACGCGTATAGGCGATAAGTTGCCGTGCCACCGCAGTGTCAGCAGCAACGCACTGTTGCTGAAAGCAAACGTAGCCACCATTGAGAGGCCCACGGTCACAGTCCTTCAACGCGCGGAATGATATGGATGAACTTGAGAAGGGCAGCCCCTGAAAAGAGAGAGAGAGAGAGACAGGCAGGCAGGCAGGCAGGCAGTTAGACAGGCAGACAGAGAGACAGGCAGACGCAGACGGACATACAGACAGGCAGGCAGGCAGGGAGGCAGGCAGGCAGGCAGGCAGACAGGCAGACAGACACAGACAGACAGATTGACGGACGGAGGGACGGACGGACGGACGGACAGACAGACAGACAACAGACAACAAACAGACAGACAGACAGACAACAAACAGACAGAGCGACGGACGGACGGAAGGATGGATGGGCGGAGGGATAGACAGACAGACAAACAGACAGTGATAGATAGAGAGATAGATAGATCGCGATAGATCGATAGATAAAAACAAATTATAGGACCGGGCACCGGGTAACCCCACATGTTACCAACTTTTCTAGACTTAGACTGAGCACAGAAAAGCAAGAAGGGAAGAGGAAGTATAAGAGTGATGGAGGGGTGATGGTGGGTGAGTTTGTGTGTGTGTGTGCGTATGTATGTGCATGCGCAGGTGAGTGAATGAGAATGTGAGTGAGTGATGTGAGTGGGCGGTGTGGTTGTGTTGAGTTGATTTAGTGAGTGAGTGAGTGAGTGAGTGAGTGAGTGAGTGAGTGAGTGAGTGAGTGAGTGATGGTGTGAGTGAGGTGGGTGAGTGAAGGTGAGTGGGTGGGTGAGTGAGTGAGTGAGTGAGTGGCAAAAAGGCGTAACCCGGGACACCATCACGACTCCGACCCCTTGGCAATTTCGCTTGTCCCACGCCTGCCACGCAAAAGAGGCGGAGCCCGAGGGACGCCAGGGCGTACATCCGACCCCTTGGCAGTGCACATTAAGAAGGCGGAGCCCGAGGGACGCCAGGGCGTACATCCGACCCCTTGGCAGTGCACATTGTCCCACGCCCGCCACGCAAAAGAGGCGGAGCCCAAGGGACGCCAGGGCGTACATCCGACCCCTTGGCAGTGCACATTGTCCCACGCCTGCCACGCAAAAGAGGCGGAACCCAAGGGACGCCAGGGCGTACATCCGACCCCTTGGCAGTGCACATTGTCCCACGCCTGCCACGCAGGCGTGAGTGAGTGAGTGAGTGGGTGAGTGAGTGAGTAAGTGAGTGAGTGGGTGAGTGAGTGAGTGAGTGGGTGGGTGAGCGAGCGAGTGAGTGAGTGAGTGAGGGAGTGAGTGAGTGAGTGTGTGAGTGAGTGAGTGAGTGTGTGTGAGTGAGTGAGTGAGTGAGTGAGTGAGAGAGGAGGACGGGAGGCGGAGGAGGAAGGCGGATACACAACTAAAAACAAAAACCCCACACGTCAATGTGGGGAAAAAGTAGAAGGGGTAGATATATAGATGGACAGACGAATTAGATAGACAGATAGTTAGGTAGATAGATAGATAGATAGATGGTTGGATGGATGGATAGATAGATAGATAGATAGATAGAGAGAGATATATATATATCTATATATATATATATCTATATATATAAAGAAAAATAGATACGTAGAAAAAGAGATAGATGGGTTGATGGATGCGGATGGAAAGATAGATAGATGGATGGGTGGATGGGTGGAACTTGAGGCCAAAGGGAAGGGGGATGAAAGCTACTGGGCGGGCGTTGTTTCTTACCCCAGGCACCCAGAAGTTACCCCATCCCGATGGCACACAGGGTTACCCCAGGCCATCCGGAAGTTACCCCAGGGACCAAATCCTATTGGCACACTAGTACCACACCACCGTTGGTTTGGCAAACAAAATATGTAAAATGTTTCCGTGCCATTATGAACCATGTTGAAAGTGGGCAAATGCCATTGGCACACACGCATTGACAGCGAAACAGCTGCCTTCCATACAAATGAGAAAAGTAGCCAATTCTGCAGCACACGCCCCGTTTGCTTGTCATGACTCTGGACATGGATTCATTTGATTTCGGTACGGGCTCCGGCGTGATCCTGCAGCATTTACTAGAACTTGCGCCAGCCGCATGGCACACCGCTTACGCCAGACATCAATAATCTTCCGCCAGTTTGAACAGTCAGAACAATCATCCTCCGCATGGCACACCAAGTATAGCATTTCCAACATGGTTTCTATGATAAACTCTACTTAATGCCAATCAACCCTTTCATCCACTTCCCCATGGCACACCGCTGGTCGGATCGACTTTCTTTTTTCAGGTCATCTTAATCTTCTTATGCTTTTGGTTTCTTCCGTGCAGCTTCCAGCCCTTTCACAAATCTCTTGGTTCTCTGCCCAAAAACCGCGCCTTGCCCAGAAGCAGCAGCACAAGCAACAACAGCAGCAGCAGCAGACCAAGCAGCAGACCATTGCAAAGCCTTTCCAAAACCTCTTCGGGCTGGGTTTTGACTGGCTGCAATTTTAACGGGGTCCGAACGAGGTGCGAACGAGGTCCGAACCAGGTCCGAAATCAAATTTTGGGAGATTGACCCCCTAAGTCTCCTGACAAAGTCTTTGGTAGCCAGACGCTTTCGCATTCTTTTCAGAACAGTAAAACTCAAGAGCTTTCAGCGGTGGAGCAGAAGAGGAAACCAAGCCAAGCAGCAGCTGCAGGCAAGAGCAAGGAGACAGAAGAGGAGACAAAGGGCGAGTAAGGGAGACAGAGGGGAGACAAAGGGACGCAAGCTTGGCAAACAAGGCGGCGGTGAGAAATTTGAGCGGGTACAGACTGGTTGAGACATAGGAGCCGTGATAGCCAAAGATATCTAAAGGCTAAAACTGTCTGAGGAAGAGAAAGCAAAGCCATGGGCAGAGGAACCACCAGGCATAGGGCAGCAGGTCAGGATGACCTATGTCTATGTTCGATTGTCTATATTTGAGCCCCAAACCGAAGCAAAATACAGCTCAAACACATGTTTTACGTATTAAACGTGATACCAACTTCAAAACTCACAAAGCACCACCTAAACGCCACGACCGCAACGACTTCCTAAAATTTGTTTGCCAACCTAAATCCAGGAAAAGTATATAAATGCCACGACTTTCATCTTTGGGAGTATAGTGGGTAAACCCACAAAGATATAACAGGTAAGCATCGTGTGCCTATGCGAAGTGCCAAAAAATACATCAGTAAGTTAAAGTCATAGGTGCTGCCCATGTGGGCCTTTCCCCATAGGCACACCACGATTTGGCACAAGATCTTGTCATCGGCACTTGTTACAACATCGATCCAGTAGATAAATTATCTGTTTCCCAATGGCACACCTAGTGCCAAATAAGTCGTGCAAAGCATTCCTGACCCAGTGTACCCCTGCGTTGTGTGCCCTGCAATGGACAAACAAACAATAAGAAGGTTTATGATTCTGAGTTCCAGCCAGCCAGAGAGGCAGTCCCACAATTGAGGGGAAGAAAGCATGTTTTCCCTGTGTAAAAAGAGCATGTTATTTTTTAAGATTTAGGGGGCTGTCTAAAAAGCTAATGTCTTTGTATGTGTGTTTTAAGGGTTCACATATGAAACCAATGTGTTTTCAGATGTTATTTAAGGGCAGCTTTAAAGGTCAATGAATTTCAGCATTTCACTTGCGGTCATTGAGGACTCACCTGCTTGCCGCTGCCTTGCCCGTAGCCCCATATTGGTTTTTTATCCCTTTGACAGAAACATCTGCAGTAGTAGATAGCACGCTGATGCTGCAGCCTCACCAGGGCCTACCAGGCCCTACCAGGCACTACCCCGGCCGAAGGAGGAGGAGGATGAGGATGAGGAGGACCACACTGGACCACACACTGGATCACATATGCTTTTGGCAGCCCACACTGGGCCACACACTGGATCACATATGCTTTTGGCAGCCCACACTGGACCACACACTGGATCACATATGCTTTTGGCAGCCCCCTTGAAAATCAAAAAACGCAATTTTACACTGTAAAATGTATGTTTTTGCAAGTTTTTGCAAGTTCTTTGCCAATTGTTACTATGTTTTGAAGGTCCAAAATGCCAAAAAACATACATTTTACAATGTAAAATGTGTGTTTTTCCAATTTTGGACTGAAATTTGAATTTTGGAGCCCCAGAGTCAAAAACATACATTTTACACTGTAAAATGTATGTTTTTTTCGAAGGTCAGCTGTCTGAAGAGAAGATGTTGATACAATTTTTGTCCAAAAACGTCCAAAATTGGAAAACCCACATTTTACATTGTAAAATGTATGTTTTTTGGCATTTTGAACCTTCAAAACATAGCAACAATTGGCAAAGAACTTGCAAAAACTTGCAAACACATACATTTTGCAGTGTAAAATTGCGTTTTTTGATTTTCAAGGGGGCTGCCAAAAGCATATGTGATCCAGTGTGTGGTCCAGTGTGGGCTGCCAAAAGCATATGTGATCCAGTGTGTGGCCCAGTGTGGTCCTCCTCATCCTCCTCCTCCTCCTCCTCCTCCGGCCGGGGTAGTGCCTGGTAGGGCCTGGTAGGCCCTGGTGGGGCTTGATGGTCCCTTGCCCTTTGGCAGCACGCTGATGCTGCAGCAGTAGTAGATGGATTCTACTTTACTCAAGGTGCCGTGGTCCAAAAAAAAACTGCTGCCGCTGGACAGTGGCAATGGTGGGTAGTATGTGGCTCACACCCTTCAACCAACATACCAGGAGGCAAACTGGTTCACTCTGCACCCTTCACCAAACATACCAGGAGACATACACATCATCTATATACCTGTCCCAGGCCTGGGTTGTCAAACATACATTTTGAGCTACCTGACATACATTTTTGCCTAGGGGCTGTGGCTAGATTGGATTTCATAAGTTTATGACTACAAATGGTAGGTTCATGTTGGTGAAATTCAGCGTGCCTATGCGTTTTGTCCTCTTACAATAAGCAATGATCCAGTGGAATAACAATATCATATATATCTTTTATACACACTTCCACGCGGCACACCGACCTGGGACAACTTCAGGGGCGACGAGACAAGAAACGACATGAACCCAGTAGCTGAGCAAGGAGAAATATGTACTGATAGAATATGTGGCACGACCTTTTCAGTTGCAATTTTGGAATTTAAATTGAAAAAACCGTCTCCACTGAACAAATAGCCCAGGCTTAGAATCTGGGAACTTACGTACATACATCCATCGAGCAAGAAATGCTTGGGAATCTTAAGATGGGCATCTGCAATTCCTCGTCGAGACCGGTTCATGTTTTAATGCAAACGTCTTGAGGAAAAGGAGTGCACGAATCCAAGTGGTTGTGCATGGCTGTTATCTCAATAATATCATTACATTAGATTGCATTACATGAGGTTACATTGCATTACATTACGTTACATTACGTGACCTTGAGTTACATTACATTGCGTTGCATTGCATTACATGAAATTAGATTACATTACGTCAGATTGGATGAAATCAGATAGGTTAGATTAGATTAGACTGGCGTGTGAGAAAAAGAGAGAGAGAGAGATAGAGACTTAGAGCATCATAGGGTCCAGCAGTGGGTTCGCTCTGCCATCCATGCATCGCAACAGCACACCTCTCCTATAGGGTTCCTTTCTTTGAAACTTTCGCCGCCGCCATGCAAGGTTAGGGGTCTGGTGCCAGTTTCTTGCTTTTCCAAAATTAAAGGACCGGATAACCCCACAAGTCAACTTCTTCCAATAATGAGCAGCAAATGTTGTAGCGGGACGGGGAAGGGAAGACAAAGGAGGTGTTGAAGGATCGACGTGTAAAAAAAAGGTTGCGTGTGACAAAGTTGTATGTGAAAGATGGTGTGTGACAAAGAAAGATGGTGTGTATGACAAAGTTGTGTGTGAAAGATGGGGTGTGACAAAGTTGTGCGTGAAAGAGAGCGTGTGACAAAGTTGTGTGTGAAAGATGGTGTGTGACAAAGTGGTGTGTGAAAGATGGTGTGGTGAGAGATGGTGTGTGTGTGTGACAAAGTTGTATGTGAAAGATGGTGTGGTGAAAGATGGTGTGTGAAAGGTGGTGTGTGACAGCGCGGTGTGTCAAAAATGGTGTGTGACAAAGCTGTGTGTGAAAGATGGTGGGTGAAAGATGGTGTGAAAGATGGTGTGTAAAGATGGTGTGTGGCGAAGTGCCACACGGCCAGCCCAGTGCCACAAGTGCCACGCCTGCCACGCAAATGAAAGGTCAATGTCACCAAATGCCACACCTGCCACGCAAATGGAAGGCCAAGCGCCACGCCTGCCACGCAAATGGCACCAAGTGCCGTGCTGGCCACGCAAGGTGGCGCAGCGCCCCGCGCGACCAAGCGCGCCCAAGCGCGCCACCAGAGCCAGCCCAGTGCCACAAGTGCCACGCCTGCCACGCAAATGGAAGGTCAATGTCACCAAGTGCCACGCCTGCCACGCAAATGGAAGGTCAATGTCACCAGTGCCACGCCTGCTACGCAAATGGAAGGTCAATGTCACCAAGCGCCACGTGCGCCACGCAAAGTGGCGCGGCGCCCCGCCCAGTGCCACAAGTGCCACGCCTGCCACGCAAATGGAAGGTCAATGTCACGAAAGATGGTGTGTGACAAAGTGGTGTGTGAAAGATGGTGTGTGACAAAGCGGTGTGTCAAAGATGGTGTGTGACAAAGTTGTGTGTGAAAAATGGTGTGTTGAAAGATGGTGTGTGAAAGATGGTGTGTGTGAAAGATGGTGTGGTGAAAGATGGTGTGTGACAAAGTTGTATGTGAAAGATGGTGTGTGACAAAGTTGTGTGTGAAAGATGGTGCATGACAAAGTTGTGTGTGTGAAAGATGGTGTGGTGAAAGATGGTGTGTGACAAAGTTGTATGTGAAAGATGGTGTGCGACAAAGTTGTGGGTGAAAGATGGTGTAGTGAAAGATGACAAAGTTGTGTGTGAAAGATGGTGTGGTGAAAGATGCTGTGTGACAAAGTTGTGTGGTGAAAGATGGTATGGTGAAAGATGGTGTGTGACAAAGTTGTGTGTGAAAGATGGTGTGTTGAAAGATGGTGTGTGACAAAGTTGTGTGTGAAAGATGGTGTGTGAAAGATGGCGTGTGACAAAGTGGTGGCGGAGGCGGCGGAGGCGGAGAAGGGATACAGAACCAAAAACAAGAACCCCACACAAAGATGTGGTTGCTTTTCAAAAAAACAGCCCGGTAGCCAAAGGCAATTATAGCAGGGAAGATGATGATAGGCTTTTTTAAATTTAGATTGATATTTTTTACAAAGACTCAGCGCGGTTTAACCTGCGAGGGAAAAATGAGAATGACAATCAGCAAAACCATACTTGCCATTTACAGCAGCAGACCCAAACCATAGTAGTCTTGTGAACGCCATCTCGCGACACGTGATCCACCACGTACTGTGCTCCCTTCAAATACTCTTGCAGTAGCACCTCCCTATTTCTGCGGCCCTGCAGCTGCCAGCTCAGCTGGCGAAAATGAGTTTCTGCTTCACAAGCATTGTGACAGAGCTTGACGCCATACGACCCTGCGGCTTCTGCCGGCTTAATGATGATTGGGAAGCCTTCTGTCTCAGCAAAGGCCTTGACAGAGTTCCAATCTGTACCCTTCACTGATCGGGTGGATCTCAGGTTGGCGGCTTTCACAGCATCCTGCTGCACCTGCTTGTCACCTGGCTGGTTTTCTGGGTCTCCAGCTGTTCTTTTAATCAGGAATAATTATTTGGTGAAAGATTGTTTCGCAATTCCGTTCCATCTCACACCAAGAGATGTATGTCCGCAAACAAAATGCTGCATCATTTCGCACTCGCTTTCACCATCCACACCTCTGGCCATAGGCCGGTTGCCCCGCAGCTGCAGATGCTGTGCCAAAACATCGGCCAGCATCACTCCCGTGTCCAAGCCGCAAAACACCGCGGCGATTGGCAAGCATGCCGCGCTTTGTCGAAGGACCTCCAGGGTCTCGGCCACGGTCGCCTGCTCTTCCACCTGGTCACCGGGTGTCAATTGGTGGTTCATCCGAAGGAAAATGGCGATTAATCTAGAAAAGACCGAAAGAAATCCCATAGAAAAGGATTCATAACCAGCCACCGTTTCACCCTTTTATTTTCTGGGAATAACGCGCAAATCGGAAACTTGCGATCACTACGTGGGGACATGCGGTGATAGGTGCTACAAATAGAGAGTTGAAGAGGGAAGATGCTCGATATGGCAATGGGGTCACTTGCGACTCGTAAATTGGGTCACTTGCGACTCAGGTCACTTGCGACTAGTAGGGGTCACTTACGACTCGGATTCTGGGTCACTTGTACCTCCAACCATCCCCTGATAATAACAATGCTCTGGGGGGGGATGGGTGGGGTGGGGTGGGGCAATAACGTTCATGTCACGTCCCGTTCATCTCAAGTTGAAGACTCCTGGACTCTATGCTCTGCATTCAGGGGGGGATGGGTGGGGTGGGGTGGGGTGGGGCAATAACGTTCATGTCACGTCCCGTTCATCTCAAGTTGAAGACTTCTGGACTCTATGCTCCCAAGGGTTTGCAAGTCTTCAACTGGATAGGGTAGCAAAGGCCCATCAACCAAGGCAAAGCACTCATCTGCGCACCCCACATTTCACTCATCTGCGCACCCTAACTCATCTGCGCACCCATGCACCAAATTTGACTCATCTGCGCATCCCATCATCATATCGCACAACATTCCAGCCTAATTAGCAGTAGCAGCAGCAGCAGGAGGAGTAGGAGTAGTAGTAGTAGTAATATTAATATCCCCCCGCAATACGTACCAAGAAAGAAGCACATAGGCACAAGTGGCGATGGATATCAATAAAGATAAAATAAACCCAAATCACCGATGATGCTTATGAAAAAAGGGAAGGGTGTAGGTAGCAAGGGAAGCCCATTAAAAAAAAAGCGGGTGGGGGGGTGCAGGGGGGAGGGCGCAGCACCTCCCCCCGCAATGCGTACCAAGAAAGCAGCACATAGGCACAAGTGGCGATGGATATCAATAAAGATAAAATGAACCCAAGTAACCGATGATGCTTATGAGAAAAGGAAAGTGTGCAGGTAGCAAGGGTAACCGATGATGCTTATGAAAAAAGGAAAGAGTGTAGGTAGCAAGGGAAGCCCATTAAAAAATAAAAACGGGTGGGGGGGTACAGGGGGGAGGGCTGAAGAGGGGCCCTAGCGTCTACTTCAAGATCAGCTAAGGCGTCTTCCCCAATGACAGCACTCTTTTACTCTCAGCCTGTTGCCGGTCAGTGCTTGTCTACAGGGTTACTCTATATACCTCTTGAGCCTTGAAGGGCGCATATAAATGTGCTCAATACTCATGCATGTACCTATGTAGGTATTAGGTCGAAACAAAAACACAGGCACAAATTCAAAAGCAATGAGTAGAGCACTACGCCTTGCCGTACCCAATTGGTATTAAGAGTATCTTCCTGACTTCTCTACACAATGGCAAATAGCAAAAGAAACCGGAGTTACGCAGTGGCTTCGAATTGAAAAACACGTGAAAGCAGCGAATGTCCTAAGGACATGTCGAAAAAGAACAGCGGATTCGCTAATTTTTCCAGTAGCGACCAATGGTGCTTCGCGCACGGTCTCTCCATAGGCAAAATGCCTCGCTCTACCGGTGAAAGTTCGAATTGAAAAGTTCGGGTTCGCAAGATTCAGAAATTCAGGTCATACGAAAAACAATTGACCAAATCACGAAATAAACGGAAATAGCGGATCTCCAAAGTTGCTCATTCAAGCAAACAATGGACTGAAATCGAAGTTGGTAAATTTTTGAAGTTCGCTCCATTCGGAGTGGTCTGCTCGCCGGATGATTCATGGAGATAAATGTATATAGTATCTCTATTTACAAGAGTCTCTATTTTACATTAAATTGAAGTTCAGACACTTGTGGCATTATCTCTATCTAAAAGAGTATATGCCATCTGTGTGAAATAAGTTGAACGCACAGAAAAACTGTACACGGCTTCTCATGCTGTGTTATCTTCAATTAAAGAAGTGTACACTCACTCATCGCCACTCACTTGATCTCCATGGTCTGGACGCTGAAGATGAGGATCCACCCCACTCTGTGTTGCCCTGATACGTCGATGCTTGATCTTCATATGCCTTTCTCTTTTTCTCCTTCTGTCTTTCCTTTCTTGAATCAGCATACTGCTTCTTCTTGTAGGCCTGTTTGTAATGATGTCGTTCATTCCATGACATATCAGAAGGATCAAGATGGATAAGAATTGGATTATGAGCATCGCGATCATTTGGAGCAACCATGAAGATGTTGTGATCACCATGTAAGCAAGTTTCATTTACCTTGAAGTAAAATTCACCCACATAGTTCATGTGATCTTCATCCTCAAAGTCTTCTGGGTGTTCCTCACACATCAAACGTGAATGACCCCACTCAACAACTGTTAACATACAACAATCACCTTTACCAGTTGTCTTCTTCATGATCTCGTCGGTGTATGTTGCTGTTGTAATGCCATCCAAGTGCGTTGCAAGAAAATCCAAGTCACGATAACTGCAAGAAATGAAATGCTTGACCCTGATTGGAGGGCAAGTTGGATCAAAATTCTTGCGCATGGCTTGTGTTGCAACACCTACCATTCTGTTAATCCAGAATTGGATAAGGCTGTGTTGATATGTAGGGACACCTGGAGATTTTGGTGTGCTGTAATAGCATGCCTTGTTTCCATCACCTGCGATGAAGTCAACTTGATATCTGGCACACTCAAAAGCCATAACAGCTAAGCACTCACCAACAATCCCAGCAGAGTCTGATGCATACTTCTGTCCGACGTGATAAACGCACACACGTGTCATTCTCATCCTAGCTCTTGTCAAGTCAACAATCTCATCTGTATCTCGATCCTTTGTCTTTCCCCAAGATACTTCAAAGATTGCCCATGAGACTTGTCGAACTCGTGTGTCGTTGTCATCTGTGTGATATCCAGCAATTTGCTTGATATAGCCATCCTTTCCAAGGCGAGCTGCCACCATCAAGTCATGATAGTCATTGAAGCAAGTTTTAAAGTCAACCTCGTCGAGTCTTTCTCTGTGAGGATACAACGAACCAGCCTCGCAATTCATGAAAAGATGTCCTCCAAAGTTCTTGATGACATTGATGAAGTAATTGTTGAACTGTGATTTGGTTTCATCAAATTTTTCATGATCCTCATCGATAGTGTAGTCAATGTGTGGAATGAATTGTTGAAATCTTTCTGGAACCGGGCATTTTTCAAATCTGTTTCTGCACCAGTTTCCCAAATTCCAAAACATTGCTGTTATCTGTGGAGAGGATCTGTATGGAAATTCAGCATCCTTGTACGTTGGGTCTGATAGGCCTCCACCTAAGTACCTGTAAGCCAAGCTATGCAAGATCATACAGTAAGGCAAGACCTTGTGTTCCTCAACGTAATCTTGGAGTACCTTTGTGAGATTTCCAAAAATCGTCATCAATCCTCTGTTCTGCTTCTTTTGAGGATCTTTCTGCTTTGTCTTGATGAAGAGGATGCATCCTTGGATCACTACAACCATATTCAATGCGCTGATTAAGTTCTTGTAATTCTAGTTGTGGATCCTGATTCTTGTGTCTGGCAATGTACTCAACCCTCAACTGGTCATCTGTAAGATGGTACCAAAAATCATGATGTGGAGACATGGTCTTCCTGTACTTAACATGCCAAAACATATGTCGATGCTTCGAAGACGCTGGATAACCTTTGTTGTAAAATCCTGCCCATTCACCATGGTAACCATCTGAAAAACAATCCTTCAATCTTCGAAAAACTGAATCATCTTCGTTTCCAGTGATATCTTGACCATAGTAAAGTCGAACTGCAGGTTTCACTTCAGGAGCTGTCTCATCATCTTGAATGTCTGTCTTCTTCTCCCCTGATTCCTCCTTTTCTGAGGAGCGTTCAGGTGGAGCTGATTCCTCTTTCTCTGAAGAGCCTTCAGCTGGGACATGTGGCTCCTGTGTGTCTTTTTCTTCTTCTTTTTCTTCGTCAGCAATCTTCTCTTCTTCATCCTTTTCTTTCTCTTGTCCTTCTTCTGGTTTGACAAACTTTCCTTGATCTTTCGTTGAACATTCTGATTGCACATACTGATCCATTTCAATGTACACTCAACCAATTTGTCATCATCAGTTTCCAAAACGATATGTTTGTCCTCAATGTTCAAACTTTCAATGGTATGCTTGTACTCAGGATCACCTGCGCCTGGTCTTTGAAGATCTGGAAGTGGAGTGTCTGGATCATCGTCCACCATATGAGGATCCTCTGCTCCAAAGAAATTTTCTGCGCCAAGGTGTTCATTGTCCTTGAGAACTTGGTCAATATCCAGTTTGAACTCATAGTACTTGTCGTAAGAGATCTCATAACCCATCATAGGTGCATACTGCTCCATAAATGTTGAAAAGGAAGCATCTGATAATGCTGACATCATCAACCATAATGAGAAGAAGCTTATGTCACCACGTTCAAGGGGTTGACCTCCTTCAAGATCATCTCCTGTGAGGACTGATTGGCCTGCGAGTGTAATATCATGGAGGATCTGTCTGTGCTCTGGTTTGAGTTGCCTGACTAAGAACAGTCCCTGTCGATCTTCCATATTTCTTCGAGGATTTGCATCAGGTAATACCTCACTTTCTTGTTGTGGTTGTGTTTCCTCTCTTTCTTGAGAGCATACACCTTCTTCCTCTCTTTCCTGAGAGCCTGATGCCTTTTCCTCCTCTTTCCTGACAAAAACTTGTAGTCTTGGCAAAAACTCCAAATCATCTTCAGCATCATCATCATCGTGACCTTCCATGTCCACATTCTGTTGCTCTGATCCTGGGATGTGAGCGATCTTGTCCTTTCCAGCTACCCAGATGTAGCCATCGAGCTTTGTAGATGTGTGGAAGTCACCCGAACCGCATTCCCTGACCTTTGTCCTTGCTCTTGCAGATTGATGGAATGCTTCATGCTGAAAGAATTGATTGTAGGCATGTTCAACAAAGAAT